GAGCCACTTATAGATAGTATATAAGTGTTAAAGTATGAATAATTCACCGATTATTGGAGTGAACTTAGCGGCAGATCAAGGCAGGGGCGCCGGAGCCACGGGGGCAACTGCCCCCGTTGCCGAAACAGGGGCGGCACGGGAGCAACAGGTTGCCCCTTTTCACCAGAACTGCGCTTCGAAATTTGTGCGTTATTAACATGATTTGGAATTTATAACTATTTTAAGCAATCTTTGCTTAATTTTAACCAGTTGTAGTAAAATTAATGCCAGAGGCCGCGGAATTACTTTTGTATAATTGTGATCAAAATCAAACGATTTTTGAAAATATGGAGTTCCTATAAAGTCGGAAATGGCCTTTACAGAGTTTTTACTACTACAAAAAGGGCATTTCCTTTCTAGCCCCCCCCCCCCCAAAAGGCATTTTTTCATTTTTAAAATGTGGTGAGGCACATGCCCCATTGTCCCCGGTTCCGCGGCCCCTGATTAATGCTAAACCAGGCAATATACGTCTGTTTACTGATTTTATCAGCGTCCTTAACATGGTGCAACGAATAAAATTGTTCAAAATTAATGTCGAAGTTTGCCGACCCACAATAGCCACAAGTAATTGAGTATCCATACAATAAAGTTTTAACAAATCTTACCGCCCAGAAAAATGATTGCTTAGAAGCAAGTGCCCTTTTGAAATGGCTGCCCCGCCGCTTCACATTGCTTCCGACGCCCCTGGATCAAGGTCATAATCAGGAGATTATGGTATTGTGTCAATGTATTGACGATTATATTACCAATATATTATTTAATAACATTAATTAAAAGATATCAGGATCGTAGACACCAGCAGAATCGTTGTAACTGTACTACTGTATGTGTATATTGAAAGTGTATAATTAGTGCAAGTGTATAAAGTTAAGTATAAATGTAAAGTAATTCGAATTCAAGAATGTTCTGTACACGATCGCTTAATTGTATATATTGTAATTATATTTTCACAAAATTGTATATATTCTTTTGAACAAGCTAAAAAGGTTTACTCAAGGGTAATAAATCAGCTTATTTTAACTCTTCAATTACTAGTGTCGCTGATCAGCGAACACGCGAATGTAAACAAACAGCTAAAAATTGACCCAATTGGGAGATTTATAACTTTTCAGAAAATTTCTTGCAAACGTGTTTTATTCCTGATTACTTAACTTTAGTAAGTATACTTTCAAATTACATGCCTTTTGAACTTCAGATAGGTGCCACTTTTGAGCTATTTTAAGTAAAATATGAGCAATTTTCAGCCTCTCGTCGCCATCTTGAAAATATAGTTTCGTAAAACTATAAAAAAATCGTATTAAGCAAATAAAGTTGTCCAATCTCCATGTAAGTGAGAGTATTAGTGTTAATCTTGCATGTCAACAGTAACTGGAGGGGATAAACGCATCACAACGTTTTTAAAAAATCAGATGAATTCTTGTAAAATTCCCCTTCATTTCCGGTCTGAAAATATTCTCGCAAGGTCAAATTTTAACATGGCTATAACTCCTATAAAACAGAAAGTTGAAACGTTCTGAAAGAAGCTCGATTAATATTGACCAAAGCCTAGTTCATATGCAAAATATGAGCTAAATCTATTTTTCCTTCCCCAAACCAGTGAGTGGATTTTACTGAGAGGCCCTCTTAAGAGTCAATGTCACTAGGAGACCACGTGTTTCCGAAGAGTCTTTTCAAAAGAAATTTTCTCTTGTCAATAGCCGCCTCTAACGCTTTCCTGTGGTCGAAATTATCATCATTGACAAAGACATCCCTGGTTTCCATAATCGATTTGTGTATTGGATCTCTCTTTGGTTGTCTTATTCATAGTAGACGTTCCAAATAAATATTCTGCAAATCTTTACGAAGTTTTGGTAGGACAAGTAAATATGCCTTGTCTTTAGTTTCGTTTTCGTCAAAACCTTCTGCAGTGAAATTCTGCGTTAGTTCTTCGAATTCCGATAAACTTTGTTGGGTTGCTTCAGCTTTTAAAGGAGCCCTTGGTTCGCTTTCGTATTCATCACGTACTTCACTACTAGTATCATCTACATTATCAGAATCACTCTCTGACACAGAATCAGTTTCCACCTCGTTGTCAGTGTTATTCGAATCCTCAACATCACTCTCTGATGTAGCACTATCAGAGTCTGCAACCGTTCTCATTCTTTTCATCTTTACGCTGAAATCTGTAGTAGGTTTCCAACATTACTGTATTTCCTTCGTATATTGTTACGTTGAGACAACGCCAACCACAACCAACCGGCGAATGATCAATTTTTAGAACAACATTGCATTTTATAAAGTGGCCTTACGGGACTCTTCTACGGCCTTGTGGCCCGATTGGTGATTGGCTGGGCACTTCCCACCAAACCTCCCCACCAATAGGATTTTAGAGAATCGGGCCACAAGGCCATAAAAAGGCCCTTGGGACCAATGTGAAAAGTGGCCCCAAGGGCCTTTTCTACGGCCTTGTGGCCCGATTGGTTGGGATGCTTCCCACCAATAGGATTCTAGAGAACAGGGCCACAAGGCCATAAAAAGGCCCCAAGGTCCTTTTCTACGGCCTTCTGGCCCGATTCTCCAGAGCCCTCTTGGTGAGAGGTTTCCCAGCCAATCGGGCCACAAGGCCGTAGAAAAGGCCCTTGGGGCCACTTTTCACATTGGCCCCAAGGGCCTTTTTAATTTATGGCCTTGTCGCCCGATTCTCTAAAATCCTATTGGTGGGAAGCATCCCAACCAATCGGGCCACAAGGCCGTAGAAAAGGCCGTTGGGGCCATTTTTCGAAATGGCCCCAAGGGCCTTTTCTACGGTCTTGTGGCTCGATTCTCTAGAGCCCTCTTGGTGTGAGGTATCCCAGCCAATCGGGCCACAAGGCCGGAGAAAAAGTCCTTGGGGCCACTTTTCATATTGGCCCCAAGGGCCTTTTCTACGGCCTTGTGGCCCGATTGGTTGGGATGCTTCCCACCAATAGGATTTTAGAGACTCGGGCGACAAGGCCATAAAAAAGGCCCTTGGGGCCAATGTGAAAAGTGGCCCCAAGGGCCTTTTCTACGGCCTTGTGGCCCGATTGGCTGGGAAACCTCTCACCAAGAGGGCTCCGGAGAATCGAGCCAGAAGGCCGTAGAAAAGGACCTTGGGGCCTTTTTTATGGCCTTGTGGCCCTGTTCTCTAGAATCCTATTGGTGGGAAGCATCCCAACCAATCGGGCCACAAGGCCGTAGAAAAGGCCCTTGGGCCATTTTTCGAAATGGCCCCAAGGGCCTTTTCTACGGTCTTGTGGCTCGATTCTCTAGAGCCCTCTTGGTGTGAGGTATCCCAGCCAATCGGGCCACAAGGCCGGAGAAAAAGTCCTTGGGGCCACTTTTCATATTGGCCCCAAGGGCCTTTTCTACGGCCTTGTGGCCCGATTGGTTGGGATGCTTCCCACCAATAGGATTTTAGAGACTCGGGCGACAAGGCCATAAAAAAGGCCCTTGGGGCCAATGTGAAAAGTGGCCCCAAGGGCCTTTTCTACGGCCTTGTGGCCCGATTGGCTGGGAAACCTCTCACCAAGAGGGCTCCGGAGAATCGAGCCAGAAGGCCGTAGAAAAGGACCTTGGGGCCTTTTTTATGGCCTTGTGGCCCTGTTCTCTAGAATCCTATTGGTGGGAAGCATCCCAACCAATCGGGCCACAAGGCCGTAGAAAAGGCCCTTGGGCCATTTTTCGAAATGGCCCCAAGGGCCTTTTCTACGGTCTTGTGGCTCGATTCTCTAGAGCCCTCTTGGTGTGAGGTATCCCAGCCAATCGGGCCACAAGGCCGGAGAAAAGGTCCTTGGGGCCACTTTTCATATTGGCCCCAAGGGCCTTTTTTATGGCCTTGTGGCCCGATTCTCTAGAATCCTATTGGTGGGGAGGTTTGGTGGGAAGTCTCCCAGCAACCTCGTTCCCAGGATCTCTCCTTCTGTCATCTGGGAGAGACCCTGGCTGCGGCTGGTCACGTGCCTCCCAGATTCTGGGAGGTAAATTTAATTGTAACTGTGAGAGGGGTGGGAAAGGAGCGTGTTTGTAGCGTTTTAAA